TTCCCTCATCACGTTGGCATTTTTTTCATAGCACATGATCACAAGAAGAGTGAGTACAGCACAGTAAGATATTTTGAGAGAGAGAAAGGGAAACATACACACAGAGAGAAAGGGAGAGAAGAGAGAGAGAGGAGGAAGACTGTATTCACATAACTTTTTTTACAGTATATTGTTATTATTTTTCTATTTTATTAATCATTATTGTTAATGTCTTACTGTGCCTAATTTACAAATTAAACTTTATCATAAATATGTATGTGTACGAAAAAATGTAGTATATGTAGGGTTTGGTACTATCCACGGCTTCAGGCATTCACTTGGAACATATCCCTCATTGATAAGGGGGTACTACTGTGCATTGAATTGGTGTCAGAGTGAGAAACTTATTTTTTTTTTAAATTTTGAGAATTTCCCCCAAAGATTAGTTTCTCTTTTATCTCATTGTTTGCAACTTGCTCTAGCTTATAAATAAATGAGCTAGTTCCTAATCTATTTTTTTCTGTTCCCACCATACCATGAGATCTATGTGTCACTCTTAATTTTAAGTTTTTATTATGACCAAAGTCACTGAGCTATTCCAGTGTACTGCTGGCATTTTAGACAGCAAAGATAAAAAAGTAATATAATCATGAGCCTAGAAAAAAGTGAAGTGCCAGTATTCTACCAAATAGATTAGCAATTATGCTAGCAGAAATAAAGGACAGACATGGCTTCAGGGAGTCCTTTTGATCTGTACTTCATGGTGGAAAAAAAAACGTAATGTGTTCATACATGATTCTCAGTGACTTCTAGAAACTGCTTTTGTCACTGAAATACAGAGCAACCACAAAGTAACAAGAATCAGACAATTTTGCTCTTGTAGTAGCTGTTTCATGTCATTTACAAATTCAGGCCATTGAAATTGTCAAAGTAGTTTAGTGACAAAGTGATCAGTTTCAAACTCCAGTGTTCCTCACTTTTTTAGGAAGTAGCACCATAACCTAACAAAAACATGTTTTTTTGAAAGTAGCCACTGCATTTATTTCCCATTATATATTTTATATAATGTATATTTCATTATAGTAGCTTATATTGGTCGTTGCTAATGAGCATTTCCCTTCTTACCAGGACATTGTATCCTTTTCACCAATTAAAAATAATTATTTATTAAAACGAACAAAGTTCATTCTCATTCTTTTTCACTAACCCTCCTCCAAGAAGAAAGACATTAGTTTTATTTTTAGTGTCCATTGAATTTAGCGCACAGTTTATTCACCTAAAAATTTGTGAGAACATTTCAGATTATTTTGAATTAAATTAGAAATTCTCTATAGACAATTGTTTATTGACTCTAGATAGAGAAAATTGAAATGCCTTAATTCACTAGGAAATTACAGAGACAAAAATATTTATCATTATTAAATGATTTTGAGTCCAGCTCATTCTGTTGACAAAAAAAAAGGATAATATAAGTCATCTGGGTTGGGGTGGGGACTAGGCATTCGTATTTTTTAAAACCACGGACATGATTCTGACTCACAGCTATGCAGAGACCCACCATTTAGACAAATAGGAGCCATTCGATGAATGAGGCACATTGCGCAAGATGAGGGTTCAGTTAGTGAGGGATACATGAAAAGGCTTGTGCTACAGGGACGCAGTTCTGATTAAAAGTTGAAAGTAACTTTTCCAACTTTTAATGTTTATTTAAATCAAATTAATTTATTCAAATTTATGTAAATAGTTTATTTAAATTTAAGCTGTAAGGTATAGAGTCTTAAAAAAAAAGACTAGATTATACAAAATCCACCCTCCTGCTGTGAGCAGTACACTGTATTCCCGATTTGACAGGCTAAGAAATTGAAAGTAGGTGTCTTACCCATGATTAGAGAGTAAACTGGAGTCAGGATCAGGGTTGCACTTTGTGGCCCTAGATACCTTAGTTCCTTGTTGCACTGACAGACTCCTGTGCCTTCTCTCTGTCCCCTTTTTCTGTTTTTCATGGTTGGGTCTGTCATATGATCAGCCGTGCTCTTGTCTGAACCTGCCGTAGGAAGGTAAGTCCTTGGACGGTAGAGGCAGTGTTGTGGGTCCTGTGTATCTATCCCAAAGTGCCTGGCCTCCTGCCCACCCATTGCAGACTTACTGTAAGTACATGTGGAGATGGGAGCCGCCTCTTGGAGGGCTGGGAAGAGGATCAGGAGAAGCAGAGAGATGGGTGATGAGAAGAGACCCTGAAGATGTAGCTCTAGTTCTAGGCCTGCCGCTTATTAGCAGGTTGATTTGTGACCCTCCCGAGTCTCAGTTTTCACATCAACAAAATGGGAAAACTCTGTCCCATACTCTTCTCACAAGGTCATCATGTGGGTCATGTAACATGATAAAAGACCAAACAGTTTGTGGATTAACAGCTACTTAAAAAAATTTTATGCAAGATGACATGGTGAGGTCAGTGGAAAGAAATGGGCTTGGGATCAGAAGGTCTAGCGCTGGAACCAGCTTGAGCCCTTACTTATTTTACTTCTATATACATTAACGTTTAATTCTATGACCCTCTATTTCCTCATCTCTAGAATGGAAGTATTTATACCTGGCATGCCTGCTTGAATGAAATTACTCATTATGTAAAAGTAGAGGTAATCAGCTTGTAACTGCACCAGGCAGAAGGGAAATAACCCTGAACAAGACAGCTTGACTCCTGTCATGGTGGAGCCTACAGTCTCTTGGAAGAGATGATGGATATAAAACTACTTTGTCAATTGTAAAGAGGTAAGAAATGTGTAGTATTATAATTATTGCTAATGTTACAACACAGAAGAAGGGCATTCTAGATAAACTTAAAAAATCAGCCGTTCATCTTGTTCTATGGTTCCAAATGTTCCAAATATAGGCAAATGCTCAGCAATTTCTGAACTGGTTTTCAGAAACTACGTGAGATCTGCTTTAAAAAGTTGAATTTATTTGGGTTTCCATATTTAATTATCAAATATATGTGTGAAAATACATAGCAGAATGTTTCAAATGTTTACAAAAAAGTAGATATGATGACACCAAATCAGATTCTCTAAGTGTGTAATTGAATGCTGGGTATCAGGACGGTCTAAGAGAAATTCCACTACCGTTTTCAGGCTGCTGCGATACCATAAGGAATTCCTTGTCATTTTAGTAAGTGTGGCTAATTCCATCATGTCCTGATAGGCTGTGTCGGGGGTCATAATGCTCTCCTAGTGGCACGGAGAGTATGGCTGATGTTAGTTTACCTACAATAATAAAGACTACGAGGAATAGCCCACCATATCTGCTAAGAGTTTGTTTTAAACAATTTTTTAAAGTGAAATGTAATTGATTTACAAGATTATATTAGTTTCAGGTATACAACATAGTGATTCGCTATTTCTATAGCTTATACTCTATATAAAGTTATTATAAAATGTTGGCTATATTCCCTGTGCTGTACATTACATCCTTGAACTCATTTATTTTGTACCTAGTAGTTTATACCCCTTAATCCCCTTCACTGATCTTGCCCCCCACTCCTTTAAGTGATTTTCATTTAATATGATGTTTAAAATAAGGGCTAAAGTTGAGGTAGCTTTTTGGCTTTTTCAAAAATAATTCAAGTTGCGTTTATATTAGTTTTCTTTTCAGTGTGTTCTGGGTGACAGCATACAAAATTAGCTTTCTAATTCTGTTTATTGTATATTTGAGTAGATTTATATGAAAGGGTCTAAAATAAAAAGTATAGTCTTTGCATTCAATGGGCAACTTCTGTTTTATATAGTCCTTCTTTTAATTGTTTCTTTTTGATATTAATATAACTGCAAAAAAAAAACACCCAAAAACCAACCCCATACTCGCCTTTATATGTGCAATTGGATGCATCTTCATAACCATTGAAAGTATTAGTAAATTGAAAATACTGAAACTCATGCTGTAGGAAATACAGGCATGGAAATAGAAACTAGAGGAAAGCCTTGGTAAGCTGTCTGGTTTGACTGCCGTATCACTCAGATAGATGCCTTTTCATGTGGAAACTTCATAGCATTTGGTAAATGACGCTCCTCCCCCATGGGCAGCAGGAGGTGAACTCTCCAGTTAGGACTGTGTTAAGCCGTCAAAAGAGGAGGGTCTAGTTGGGTGGCGGTCTCCCCTTGGCACTGATTTAAGCCAGGAGGGGATGACATTTGGCATCCATGTGCTGTGCTCAGCAATGGACTTCAAAGCAAACCCTTCCAACAATTTTCGAGTTAGTGAGGACATCACACTCAAGTCCTGTCTGGTGCTTGGGAAAGTGTTGCTGTGTTTTGAGTGCAGTCTCTTTCACTCAAGCTTACTTTTGGGCCATTAGGGGAATCGATTCTCAGAAACTCTAAAACTCCTGGTGCTGTTTTCCTGCTGGCTTTAGAAGTCGTTGGCCTGATGCTCTCGTGTGTAACATAAAGGTCTTGCAGCAAGGAAGCTTCAAAGGCAAATGCTCACAGAGAAATCAAGAGGGAAAAAAGTCTCCTGAGCCAGGGAACAATTCTTCAACAATTCCTCCTTTAACTGTAATGGTGATACATGTTGTTTCACCAACTGGGGCAGAGTTAGAGAATGAGAGAGTAGTATTTTTCTGGCTAATAGTTCAGTATTTTTCTTTTTCAACCCAAAGCTTACTTCCTGGTCACCTTTCCACAAGCTCTCTGGTAAACTAATGGATCTAAGACCTAACTAATTCCTGCCAATGTTCCGCCAGGGTAATCTCTGAGCCCTGAGCCTGTCCTGCTGCTCCGAGAGGCAGGTGACCAGTGGGCCTCAGTATCCCAGATAGTAAGGACAAAGAAGTTGGCCACACACAGCTGCTTTTTTGTGTTAGGCCGTCGGCCCCCGGCATCCTTCTCTATCCCCAGCACCTGGAATGATGTGGAGGTTGTATTAGAAAGTTGACGCATATTGGTTCAGTGAATGAATACAGATGTCTCCCCTGTCTAAACTGAAGATGTAGCCAAAGAGGACAAAGTTATCAACTTTACCAACAATGGATGTTTTGCATTTCTGAGAACCGTAGTTCATGAAGCCTCTGACCTTCCCAAGAATATCTTCAGAGGTATTTCTTTGGATATAAGACTTGTAAACAGATAATAACGTTACAAACCTTATGGCAACTCAGAGAAGAAAGCATGAGCTACGTATGGAGGAGAAGATATTTAACCATGATGTTGAAGTATGCCTGGTTTACCAGAGGAGGTGAGGAAGGGCATCCTGAAAAGAAAGGACAATACATTGCAAAGGAAACAAGGCATAACTGACATGGCCCTTGGGGGAGGGGCAGGGGCAGGGAAGGGTGGGTGGGAAATCAGGCCAGTTATGTTGGCTGGGGTCATCCTGAGAGGAACCATGCTATCAAACATGAATTTCTTTTAGGTTCTAAGAAGGAAGCAGTAGAAGAGTTGTTGGCCACATGGTGATAGAATCGGATACTGAAGGATTTCTGGATAATCTCTGAGCACTGAGGCTGTCCTGCCACTCTGAGAGGCAGGTGAGTGGGTTTCAGTATCCCAATTAATAAGGACAAATAACCTGGCCACAGACAGGGAATTTATTAGCAGCTTATTTGCCATCATAGAGAGTGTGTGACATAAAGGACACACGGTCATTGTTTTAATAATGTGTGAGGCGTTGTTTGGTTTGGGGCATGAAGATGACTAAAATGGAAAGACAAATGATTGTAAATGAAGACAGAGGTGCTGCCATTGTAGTGTAGTTGGGAGAGGTACTGGGAAGCAGTTCCTTACCAGATGCTGGTAGAAATCAGTGCAATTGTAACGGGAGAATCTCATTTTCGTATTGTCCCTTTCCTTAATAGGGAGTAGGTGGCTAGTTCTAAAGCTGCCACAGAAGATGTCCCAGCTTGAATGCACAAGCAGTTGTGAAACTTGATCCAAATAAGTTGGCAAGGAAATGGAGGCTGCATTTAGCAAAATCCAGGCAGACCCTAGGACTCTGGCTGGGGCAGGCGGGTGGTAAATGGTCACTGAGTGTGGGAAGAATTGTGTCTGTTGTGGGAAAATCTCTGACCTGGAATTACTGAGGTCTGGATTCTTAATCCTGTGGTGTTGGAAAATTCATTGAATTTTTCTGGGCCTTGGTCTCCTCATCTGTGAAACAAAAGAACTGAACGAGATGCTTTCTAAAGTGAATGTTATAGTTTATGATTTCATGAACTGCAGGGAAAATTCTTACCTACATCTGGCATTGGAAAATATGGGGAGTTTTCAAATAAACAAGTGGGGATACTTGGCTTTCAACTGAGCATAAACATCAAGGCATATTCTGTACATTTTATTAGAGAAAAAGAATCAAGATGAGAAGGAAGAGATTCTCCCTCAGTGCATCTAGGAGCTGTGTCAGCCCCCAGCAGGGTCTGAGGTCAGAAGGCCAGTCCTGTCCAGTCCTGTCCTCATGTCCAGGAGGGTATTTTCTCCATGCAAATGCCAAGATGGCACTCTCGCTAACCTGTGGGTGAAAAGCTATCTGTTTTGGATCTTTACATTTAAGTTTTTATTCAGACACATTCCACAAGGGGAAGGTTGCTCATAAGAAGGGACTTTGCTGAGAATCTAGTGAGTTTGGGATGACACATCTTGGGGGTTATTAGTTGCATGATTTGACCTGAAATGAGCAGTCTAATTTAGTCAGATAAAAGCATGGAAAGGTTATGTTCTCTTTGATATGAGAGTTTTCAGGACTCTTTAGCCCAAATAATTAACATAAAGGCAAGAAATAGTGAGTGAAGAGTTAAATGACTGAGGATAGTTACTGCAAACTGGAGAGATTGGAGACTGACATATATGAGGGATGCCCAGAACCTGAGCCCTTAGCGGGAAAGTGAGGGTGGGGGAAGAGAACTGTGGTACTGGGTATTGGGCTGGTGGTTGGAGATGTCAATGAGAAAATCCCACCCAAAAAAGTGAATTTCTTTCTTGGATATGCCTCCAATCAGAGTACATATGTGATGTGAGAAGTAAAAGAAACAACCAATCAGGGAAATCAGACTAAGTCAATCAGGTTATTTTCCAGGAACTCAAACCAATCCATTCGGCATCTAGCTCTGTCATAAGAAAGTGTTTGATCTACTTCCCTGTATCTTGAAGGTTTTTGGACTGGAAAACGGACTTAGGATTAAAAAAAAAAATGGAAGAGGCCATTGTTGTGGGCCCTAAACGCTACAGAGTACATTTGCTTCCATGTGGGTTAACTCATCTTTGGTCTTTTTAATAAAGCAGTGGAGTTTGGGAGACTTAGATGCTAAGCAGGGTCTCCTGGGACCCCGATTAAATGAATAGTGAGTCATACTGGTGATAATAGATCGGAGACAAGTGGATGTAGGATTCCAAAAACTTGGTTGTGGAGCCTGTAATAATGGCTCTGTTCATGGACTGTTATTAGAAGTTTTGATGTCTTCAGGTTCCCTGTTAATACCAGACAGGCTTTATCCTGAGAGTCCTGCCTGAATGGAACCTCCTTCTCACCTTGGCATCCAATTTATAGCAACCAGTTCTTTCCAAATGTCTGTGACGATCTATACCGTAGCTGTTGGGTCATATAACTCCCATAATGTGGAACTGGAGGAGACGTGTGGAAGAGGCTGTACTGTTCACATGGCCCAAGAATAATGTCCACTCGGGAAAATGGGAAGAAATGCAACTTATGGGTTTACTTACTTGCTTCAAGTAACTTTTAGGTGATTCAGCATCGAGAGGGTTATGATCTGTAGTATGAGGAGCTTGCTGGGCTGCTGTGAATCCTTAACCATCTCTTTTGGGGAACTCTATCTGTGGGTCATTCAAAAACTCAGAATGAAAAGAATTAAAAAATGGTAACTCCTAAACAATAACAAGCAAAGTAAATGAAAAACTTAGTCAGAATTGTAACAAAGTCTTTATTTTAAAAGCTAGAATGAACATAAATAGTATAAGAAAACTAATAGAGGAGTAAAAATATGTCAGGTTAAGGAAAGCCAGAATACAGTGTTGACAGCAAAACAAAGAGGTGAGAAAACTAAACCAGAGAATTGGGAAAATAACAAACCAAAGTCTACACTGTTAAAAAGGATTAAAGTAGCCAACCTAATAGGAAATTCAGAATATTCTGCCAGGAGAATAGTTTAGAATCGTATACAACTACATGTGGTATGTGATTATCTTTGGGTGAATGGGAGTATGATTTAAAAAAAAATTCATTTTGCTTGTTTGTAATATGTGATTTCTCTGAAATTATCCTGCACTGTATATGCAATTAAAATTATAAGGAAAACCGCTGATGAAAGACATGAAATTAAAATAAGCAGACAAAATTTAGAAACAAAAAAGCATTAAATTAGACTAAATGGCAAAAGCAGGAAGACAAAGAAAGCAGGGAATAATGAATATTCCATGAAACTGTAGAAACCAGAAATTAAAAGATTAAGAGAATAAAAAATGTACTACAAGAATGTTAATATTTATAAAATTTGAAAGACTATGGGATTTTTGAAAAGGAGAAAATGAAAAAGCCTAAAGAGTTGTTGGGTTCAATGCTCTTTTTCGGGGGCTGAGCTGGGGCACCCCCTCAGCTTGAGGTTCCCACCCACATCCTCCGAGAGGAGGTCCCAGGGCAGAGAGCAAATCTAGCCTCTCCAGCTCTCCTTACGTTGAGGGTCCTGGCTTCTGTGACTCTCTCAAAGTATCCAGCAAATAGTGCGACAGAATCAAATTCCCCTTGCTCCATACACCAGCGACAGAGCCGTCAGCAGTGCAGGCACCCTCAGTTTCTGAAAATGCCTGGAGCGTGGCAGCTGCGCATTGCCGCCATTCTTCATTGTCTGGGTGGTTTCGTCCCTGCGCTGAGCGGCTGCTGCAGCGTTTGGAGGCCGGCGCTGAACTTCACACATCCCAAGAGAGGAAGGAAAGGAGGAACGAGAGAACGAATGTGGTCTGGGCATCTCCTCCGGGTCAGGTGTTGTCCTGGGAATGTCACTCCTGTGCTCCTTCTTTTGGTCTTTCCTGTATCTTATAAAGTAAATATTTTAATGCCAGTTTTGCAGATGTTGAATCCGAGGCATAGAGTTCATGTCATTAGCTCAAGGTTACATCCAGTAGCAGAAGTCTAGTTCTAAAAGCCTAGAGAGAGGGCTCCTTTCTAGAGGAAGAAGTAAGCCTGTGAGGATGGAGGCTTCCCAATGAAGCCAGGTCAGGGCACAGGGTGTCAGAACACATCTTCCTGGTAGTCCTGGTTAGTGTGAGGGCGAGGTTGAGAGGGTCCAAACATCTCAGCTCTTCTGCCGGAGAGGAGGAAGGCCTCCAGCCATGGGAAAGTAGCAGATAGACTAGAAGTCAGGCTGGCAGAGGCCCTTACAGAGTGGCCACCAGACCATGGGTAGCCACTGGCATCACCTGTGAGCTTGTCAGAAATGCAGTCTCAGGCCGCACTCTGACCTGTTGAACTGGGGACTGCTGAATCTGGGCATGGACATAGGAAACTGACCAAGCTCTTCGGGTGATTTCTAAACACAATAAAGTGTGAGAACCTCTGCTGTAAGCAAGGAGTTTGGTGTGGGATTTGGAGGCAGGGTGAGGAAGCTGAGATGCTGGGGGAGAGGATGATGAGTGGATGAGGGCTCTGAGCTAGTCTACAATATGAGGTATGGGGCTTGATGGGAAGGATAAGAAAAAGTAGGCACTGAGATGATGGGGCCAGACGTGGCAGTGGGAAATGGCCTCCGTTTCCAACAGCTGAGTGTCGCCAGCAATCCCTTTCCTTTCCCTGAGCCTCACTTCTTTAGGATCAGGTGATGGAGGGGCTCTTGTCACTTATCTCACGGGCTTGCTTTAAGGCTGCAAACAAATTAATATAAGTGTGTGTCCTTGACATATAGTCAGTGCTCAAGAAGTAGTGTTCGAGTTTGGATTTAAATGGGGAGCTGAGTGGGTGGGGTGGAAGAGTGACGGGGGAGAGCAGTGTCCTTTACCCTCTTGGTGACTTTGGCCCACTCAGGCAACTCCTGTGGTTGAAATGTTCCACTCCCGTCTCCAGGCAGCCTGCAGTTACTTGGAAAAGTAAATCCTCAACTTGGACTTACTGAAACAATGAAACAAATATTTTGCCTATCTTCTGTTAAGGCAAAAGCTGACTACATCCCATGAAAGATAAGAGGAATAGGTTTTTTCCAAGTTATAAATTTTGTGTTGTGTGGAGAGTGAAGAAAGAGGTTGATTCACGCCACCCGAGGCGTGGGGGAGCACGTGGCATGAAAGAACGTGTCATGTGCTCGGAGGGAAAAGACCCGGATATGAATCGACCCTGGTCTGTGACTTCCTAGCTGGGTAACCTTAGCAAATTATTTAATCTTTCTGAATTGTAGGTTCTTCATTTCCAAAAGGACAATATTGTGAGGAGTGGAGAACAATGAAGGTGGACGCACTCCTCAGGGTGCCGGGCCCATGACAACTGGTAGGAAATGTTCTCCGAATCTCAGTTCTGTCCCTGGCCTTTGCCCTGAGTGAAGCAGGGGAAGCTCTCCCACCGCTGCACCTGAGCGAGTCCTCCTCCGCAAGGTTTGTTAACGGCCCTTTGAAGACTCCGTGTCTTTAATGACCCCTTCTGTGTTTACCTGACACAGCTCTTTCCCCTGCGCATACTTCGCATTCCCCAGTCTTCACTGGGCTGGGGAGAATGTTTGGCAAGCCCAGCCTTCTCTAAGTAACAGAGGACGGTTCGGCCCTGTCTCTTCTTGTGTCTGCGCTCCCGAGTCAGGGCAGCCCCTCCCCTTTCTGACTGTCTTGTGTTTGGAGTTGGGAGTGGGGTCTCTTTCTGGTCAAGGAGAATGAGACTAAGACAAGAAGCAGTGGGGAAACGGCATCATTTCATGACACTGATTTTATCATAAGGCCAGGAGGACTGACGGGGGGAGAGGGAGCGTTTTTCGTTTCTGTAATCGTCTCCTCCAGAGGGATAGCAGCAGCGAAAGAAAAATCAAACAGTCTGCTCCCTTGCCCTGGGCTCCATAATTTGCCTTTTACTTTCTGCATTTTCATATTTGAGTCTGCAAAACAGAGGACCCAAACAATCAGCAACAGATGGCCTTGTGCAATCTGCACGGGACATGAATTCAGTTAGCATGCAAATTGTCATCCTAGGGCGATTCCAGGGGACTGCTGAAAAGACAGCAGGCTTGCTTTGCAAAATAGATAGCATGATTAAAATGTCTGGATCCAATCATATGTTTAATTACAATCCCTTTTTTATCTCAACGACAATGACTGGTAGCTATTATGACACAATATTGAAAATGTGTATGACGCATGGTGGCACTTGGAAGCTGATAGGTGGTCTGTGTTTGATCAAAATGATCAAAGCTCCTCGCCATGGAGGCCCCCTCTCCTTCTCTCCCGTCTGATCCACTTAGACGAGCAAAATATGATTTACAGGAGACAGTTTATGTGATTTTCATTCCCCAAGAACAGAGGCATAATTTTTACATCACCATTTCCCCTAGAAACAATGGGAGCTTGACAATGCTCATCAACACACAGTAACCCACCCCGCACTCCGTGGCTGTCTACAAGGCATCTCTCCTGCTTCAGCTCTAATTTACTCTCCTATGTTCAAACACTTTTGAATTTTTTTATTGGTATGATCAGAAAAAGACCAAAAAAAATTGAAAGTGCTGGGAAGAAACTCTATTATTTCATTCTATTCATACAATCAGATTATATTTTGGGGACTTTAGAGAAAACTGAAAGTGAATTTCTCACAAGATGGTGTGTTGAGTGTGAATTCTAATGACTTGGTTGAGGATAAAGATGGAATTTCACTAGGTAACTTGTGGAAGCACTGTCAGCTAAAATTGCTGTTGTGTCTGCTGCGAAAAAGAATTTATATTGAAATTTCTTTTCCTGCCCTTTAGCTGAAACTCTGGAAGGCAGAGAAATAAGGCACATCAGTAACTTGGTTGGCATGCCTCATTGTGGGGATTTTCCACATGTAACCAGTGTTATGGGAGAACTGTTTGCAACAACTTGATGAAAACATCCAGTATTAAGTTGGATGACAATTTATCAGATGAAAGTCTTTTATGCATTTCACAGCTACGTAGTAGTATATTTTTCACTTCTTGAAGGCTATTGGTTAGGTTCATGTAAAACTTGGGTTGTGGTTTCACATATATTTGCTTCTCTATTCTAGCGGTTTCCTGCCCTATCTTGCTCTCCTTTACATTGGTTACTGTTGTGTAAAGAAAACAAAAACATTCTTCACTAGCAATAAGAAATTGATTCAGGTATTTCTTGTGCTACTGCTCTGCACACAGTACTGTGCTGGGGGTTGCGAGGGGCTTCGGCTGACTTGTGCAGGCTTGAATTCTGCCCTCAAGGATTTTACAGCCCAGTGTAAGTCCACAGTGAGTCAGATCTAAGAAAGAAGCAAAGATAAAGAGATGGATAGACAGATACGGAGAGATGCGGAGTTGGAGAGGGAGGGAGGAAGAGAGCTTGGGCAGGAGGGTGGGCAGTGGAAAAGAAATGGTTACAATTCTTTAATCCTATATCGATTGTGTCCAAGGAAGGGAGGAGGGAGCATTCCAGGGGAAAGCTCACTGTTTACTGCCATAAAGCTTTGGCTCCAAACTCTTTTGTTGGAATTCTAGCCACAATTGGCTGAGATGGATCCTGGGTGAATCATAAACACTGTTTTTGCATCTGCAGCCTAAGGTTTATCCTAAAAATAGGCTGAATGACCTATTTAGCTTTTACCCTAGTTCAGCCCTTTAGATCCTTTACCAGCAGCTAATATTTACTGAGCTATTATTATGTGCCAGGCATTGTACTAGGTGCTTAATAAATGTTTTCTCATCTAGTCCTCACCGAACTCCCCTTTGAGGTAAGGATCATTACTCTATAGTAAAAGAGACATGTACTCTGTCAAAAAACATCGAACGGAAGCTGTTAGATAATGAAAAGACTGTTTCCTTTGCTGTACTTGGCACATACTTTTGGCTTCAGAAACAGCTCTACTGTCTTGATTTGTTCATCTTTGCTGTACTTTCTGTCACCTGGCACTTACAGCTCTAGTAATTAAAGAGGAATCAGCAGTTTATGAAAGCACAATAGACTTAGGGGAGGATGGTTTTGTTGAATCAACACAATTTAACTGCAAAATTATCACTGCAAAATCATACACCAGGGAAATTTTAATGCATAAAGATCATTTTTAAATTAAAGTGCTAAGACCAGAGTTTCAAAGACATTTGTTTTAATGGTGCACCATTAGCTGTGTAAAAAAAGACCCCAAAACTTTTGAGTCACTATTTTATCTTACAAAAGTTAAATATTCTTTGTAGACAGGAACTCTCTGTTAAAGTAATATTTGACATCTCCTGAATCAAAAATACTTTACAATGAAAGGCTGACATCTGTTTACTATATAAAAAAGGCTGCTGTGTATTTTTACTAGCAGAATTTTCCTTTAATAAGGCAGCCAAAAGTCATCTACACACACCAAACCAATTTACAACCAAGACCTGTTGAATACCAACACAGCATCACATGTGCCTAGCAATCCATTTTTCCAGTATTACTCTGATTTGGTACTGAATTTGTATAGGAAATACGGTGGGTTTTTTTTGCTTTTTTTTTGTTTTTTGTTTGTTTGTTGTTTTTTGGAAAGGATATAACAGTAATAAAAAGGCCTGGGTTAATTATTAATTTGGTGAGCTTTAATCTTTTCAGTGCTCTCAACTTTGATTTCATTATATTAGTAGTTAATCTTCCTTATTTAAGATCAAACTACAACTGAGCTCTTTTTATATTTTTCAATCAAGTAGTAGCAAAATCTGTATGTTTGGCCAATTCCACCTGAGATCATCTGTCTAGGTCACTGCAATTAGGAAGAGACCAGACAGAAGGCAGTCAACTTGGTAAAGAGTTTAAATCTGTGTGTAATCTCACACAGGTGCTGCTTCCTGTGCTCTGGAAAATCCCTCATCACTAAACAGGCCAACTGAGCCACACCTGGGCTTAAGCAGAACATCTGGACCTACTCTTTCCTACTCGCTCATGTTCTCCAAATCGTCCCTGAACACATGGCGCTTTAGCGCAAGTCTGACACCAGAGATTTGTAAGCCCTACGTGCACTGCCAAATCCAGTTTGATACAAAACACAGCTACCTTTTTTGAATCAAATACATTACAGATATGATACTCCTGTCATATATTTCAATTAGTCAAGCCTCAGGTAATTATGGGGGTCATTTCTGCCACTAGTAATAAATTTCATAATGGCATTAACAATTAAATGGGGAATTTTAAGGAAGGTTGAAGCCCAACATCTATTAAAGGCCCTAGCTAGCTTCAATGGCCGTGTGCTCTTTGTCTTCTAGTCATATAGCCATTGGTTGGGAAAGTCCTGAAAATTAAATATGGGTTTAGTTATTATTGACGAGATGCTAGTTTTAGTGGGTCTCAGTTTCCTTAAGAAAAAACACATATCTGTTAAACTCTAAATATCTAATTTTTGCTTAATGGAGCTTACTTAATCCTTAGACTTACAGTTATGGGAGGCTTTGTAACTAATTAATAACTATGTATTGTTGGTATACTCTGGGCCTAGCATTATGCTGGAATAACTGAATTTAGAGTGATCAAGCAAGCTGTCAGTGTACTTTGTGTGGCTTTACAGGTGGCCTTCCAGTAAGCGCTTTCTGTGGAATTTTGGCATTTCAACTGAGGTACATGTCAGGGATGGGTAGGGTGAAGAATGAATGGTATGGAGTAGGTATGCCTTTTATGGCTCCCATAAATGATGCAGAAACAATGGGGATTGTGTGGAGGAGGTCCTTAATATATGTGTACACTTCAATAAACACATATGAATACTTCTTCAAGTGTTAACATTATGAACTGCTGATCAATTCATAACATTGAATTTATTACACTTGCAATGCTGTTATGTTTATTGTTTGAATTCCTTGGACTCAGTTGCTGTTAGTCAAATTCACTGTCTCCAAGAATGCTTGGAGGTAAAGAGGTAGGAGCGATTGGGGATTGAGGGCATCGTGGGATGGAGGACGTGATGGAGTAGGAGGGGCACAGAGAGCACCTGTCACTCATACTAATGGGTAGTAGTCTAGAAGGCAGGCCCTGAAATGCTCACGAGGCAGTTTCAACTCTGAGGGGGTATTGCTAGTTTAGCAGAAAGCTCTGAAGCACCAAATGATACCTTATATTCCTGAAGGATTGAGATCGAGAGAGAGGGACTCTACAGGGTACCTTTGGAATTCAAGGTAGCTTGAATCTGGTCCAGATGTTCCTGAGCAGAGCTAATGGGAGGGCTGCCTGGATGAACAGGTGTATATGCCTTGATCTGGTAGTGATGCAACTTGACATTGAATCAGACTCAAGTGCCTGTTGGCACTGGAGCCTAGTCACTCAAATAATGGAAGTACTTAATTTTTTTTTCCAAAAGTTTCTCTGCAGTGTGGTTTGTTTTTGGTTGAGTGGCTGCATAGATATGATAGTGAATGTATAAAAGAAATAGGCTTTCAGGTTTAAGAATTTTT